CGGTTTTCAGTTACAATGTGTTATATCCGTGCCGAGGTGTTTGGAAATAAGAAAGATAAACTTTTATTTCATAGTTTCAACTATAAATTAATTCATCACAAATCCAACCTCAGTCAATAACTGTCTTTATCATGAAAAATCACGAACACTAGTGGAGTACATCATGTTGTGTTCGCCCATATTCCTTAGAAACTACGCGAAGCTATTCCAAAAACCCATTGTATTTTTCGATAGTTACTTTGAAGATAAGTCGCGTATTTGACCCACAGTGGCAAATTATAACAATTTTCTATGCATGAGCAATGAATTGTTTAAATTGTATAATGCGAATATATTAATGGCGATTATACCTGAGAGTATGAAATAAAAGTTTATCTTTCTTATTTCCAAACACCTCGGCACGGATATAACACATTGTAACTGAAAACCGAGAGTTTTCGGAGAATCCATACGGCAATTCAGAAACATGCCATGACAGTCTATTTTACCTCCTGAATACTATGCAGTTCAATAAAAGCGTTAGAAATCAAGTTACGAATTTTCAATAGAAATCTCAGTTATGAATTTTCTAATTTTATTGCAAAAATCGGTTATTTGATCTAAAATAGGTTTTCAGTAGGTTTTTAAATTTTTTTCGAAAAACAACCATTTCCAGAACATTCTCCGTGGTCGATTACTTATGTTTCCATTCATCTTTGGAATGACCGCACCTAAAGAAATATCGATCCTTGTACTCTTAGGAAATCCAATGCCACGCCTGACGTAGGAAAAATTAATTAATTAGGGTTCTGTAAACGTTGTGCAAAACAAGGTTTTCAATATAGACTATTCTCTTTGCCAACGGGCTATCCATAGAAACTCTGTTGGTTTGATCATAGTTTCTCGCATCAAAAATAAAATTAGTTCTTTTTGTACAGTAAATAGAATGACTCGCGCAAAGCTGAAAAAAGTCTACTGTCACACGGGTGGAAATATGCTATGAATATCAAAGAATTGAATCCACTGAATGTTAAGACGGCTGTTGTGTATATTTATTACTGTATGGAGAAGTGTTCACGTATAGATACTGCAAATAGAGCCAAAATTAAACCTAAATTGAATAAGTTTGGAGCTACGATTAAATAAAGATTAAAAAATAATGTAACGTGCCGAATCTATCCATTACTGAAATTGAAGCTATGAAAACGTTGACAAATGATAAATCTTTTGTTATAGCAAAAGCAGATAAAGGGAACTCAGTAGTGGTATTGAATCGTGAAGATTATATACGGAAAGGAATGTCTGTTCTAGATGATAGACGTGCCTTTAGATTCTTGAATGAAAATCTCACTGATGGGCGAGATTTCAGCTAAAGAAATTCAGCTATAATTCTGCCAGATTCGTAGAGAGGATCTAAGTGTGAACTGATATCTATATACTTTCTGATTCTGCCAGAATCTAACGAGAATTGGACCAGAATCTGACAGTTCGTAGAGAGCTTGTAAAAGTTCGGGGAGGGAGGGATGCTTGAGAGTGAGTAGGGACAGTGTGAATTCTGGACTTTCCACGGAACTGTGGAACTTGACACCACTCACATTCGATCAAGAAAATCAATCGGTTTATGATTTATGTCTACAGTAGATGATTACCGCATGAGAAATGAGCTAGTTTCAAATGTTGAATTTCACAAACAACCTGCCTACAATGGAATAGTTTGAGACAACTACAAGGATATGCATATGACTCACAATACACATTTTTAACTAATTTTCAATGAAGCTTTGTTCTTGACCAACACTGAATACTTTGTTAGTACTTATGAGATGTACGTCGGTAACATGGTGGATCAGTTTTGTATTTTAGGAGGCGCGACCCAATGCCGCTTAGATGGCATAGTGAAGTTTTAGAAAAAACACTTTTTCTGGAATTCTTTATTTCCGATGAAACTGCTTGTACTAACGTAGTAAGAAATATAAAACTGCTACAAACATGATTCATACAAATCACAGTGCTATTATTTTGATTTATTATTGATATTTCGACGATGTTCACTCGTCATCATCAGAATAAACGAATGACGCCAGATTTGATTCAATAAGAGTACAAAAAAGAAAAAGAACAGAAAATTAGACAATTAAGTAGATGTCTTTTTATCCATATGATCGATCATATAGCACTGTGATTTGTATGAATCATGTTTGTAGCAGTTTTGTATTTCTTACTACGTTTTTTTAATATTACTGCTGTACCAAAACATTTTACTGCTTGTACTAGTTGAGAATTCATCTACCACACTTCGCTCGAAATGTTCTCAAACTCCAGTCACACTCACTGCCTCCCTCTAAGAGTAAAATTAAAATACAGGCACTGTATAAAGCCCGCAATTCCCTTTAATTTGTTCACTATGCCACCCAAATAGCATAGTGCTACCACTGTATTATCGGATGAGAGAGATAATTATCTGTTTTCAGTCTTTAAGAAACATTGATTATACTTCGAACTTTCTGTGCAATTCATAATTATGTTTTTGCAGAGCTTAATAACGTTGAGATGCAGATGGACATCGCTTCGATCAGAAAAGCAAAGAGGCAAAAGGAAGTTGTAAGGATGTTAGCAACTTCCACACACGAGCGTGCATCTTGATATTTGTATGACCCCAACACTTGTTCTATTATGTAAGCAACATCATATTTAGTAATTTTACAACCGCTTTATAGTTGCTAGAGACTCAGACAGAATTCATTTCTAAAAGAAGATACCACGCCCAGTTTCGACCTTTCTCAAGGGTCTCGTCAGGTGGTTTCCTTCGAGAAAGACAGAGTTAAGGCACGACAAGTAACACAACTCCATCCACACCGTATGAGGGTGCTATTATTCTTTGTTATTATCGAACAAAGAACGATAACTTTCACACGACGATTCGCTTTGTGCGGTTAATAATTCTTCTGTTATTGTATCTGCTACAATGGTACCGTCCTTCATAACGACAATTTTGTCACTATCTGTTATGGTATTTATGCGATGTGCAATTGTTAATACAGTATGACATTTAAATTTTTCTCGTATGACTTTTTGTATCAATTCATCTGTTCTTACATCTACATTTGCTGTTGCTCCGTCGATCAATAAAATTTTACTTGATTTTAAAATTGCTCTCGCTATACATATTAACTGATATTCACCAACACTAAAATTCCTGCCGTATTCAGTCATTTGTGTATTAAATCCATCTTTTAGCCCTCAAACCATACTTTTCAATTCTACTGCTTCTAAAGCTTCCCATATTTGGCCATCGATGTAGTGTTTAAATGGATCTAAATTATATCTTAATGTATTACTAAATAATACAGGTGTTTGTGGAATAATATTCAACTTTGATCGTAAATCACATAAACCGATTGTATTAATATCAATTCCATCGATTAAAATTTGACCATCTGTTGCCGATTTATCAATTAATCGAAATAAAGCTTGGAAACTTGATGATTTCCAGCACCTAAGAGAATATGATGTTAATATTGACTGTAGGTTTGAAAAGAACTCAAATTATCTCCTTCGATCTCTCCATACAATGTTTCAAATATGAAATTTTAGCCTTTGGGCTTATTTTATTCCGAGGAGGAACGTATATAAGACATATAAAGTACAAAGTTAAGACAAATGAAATCAGAAAAGATACTCGGATCATTGATTATTCAAGAGCAGATCGCAAAGCATGAATTTTTTCTGCAGAACATCTCCTGTTCTCTTAAGAATAGGCTTCTATTAGTATTTTGATCACTGTTGAAAAATCGATTTCACAGATGTTTCTCAGTAATATGTAATTTGAAAGTAGACACAAAATTCGAACAAAATACAATATTTTGTTTGTTTGTTGAATAAAAGATACTGCGAACGCCATTAAATTTCGGTTAGAATTATACCCTAAACAGGTGAAAAACCGGCAAAAAACTGGCTGCGTTCTAAGAATAGTGGTTTTCAGAAACTACCTTTTCCAGAAACGAAATGACTTGCGAGCACACGTGAGAGCATCTTTTGTTGTTCACGAGCGTAAATTCTTTGGCTCGTAACTTGCACTGTATCTGATCGGGGTTCTCTTGGAACTATGTGATGTTTGAATACTTTAGATTACATTAAGAGAAATTAATAATCACATGAGAGAAAAGTTGACTTGTAATCAACTTTTATTTTCGATCAAAAAGTACATTTTTTGTGGTCTGGTTCAGACCTAATTATTATTTAGTTTTTCTTTTTCTTGTCTTGTCAAATTCTTGAGAGAAATAAAAATATTAAAAATTACAAAGTCATACTTGAGTGAGCGAAGTTCACAATATTTTCGACTAGAATATGGAAAAGTATATAAATATTTCTTCCATATAAAATTTTTCCCACCAAACGCAGCAAATGTTCCAACCAATATGTTGTTTACGTAGAACTCGCAATAGAGGTCGATGAGGAACAGTAGTCTAATCAAAACTCATTTTCAATTTGTATAATATAACTAATAAAACAAAGCGTTTCTTTATGTTATCAAAAATTTC